TTCGTTTGAAAAACTTTAAACAAGTATGTTGTTAGTTTTTTTTAATGCTATACAATTTGTGTTTTAGTTTATGTTTAAGTGAGTATTATTTTTTTTAATATTATATATTAAAGGTCAATTTGCCAAATAACACAAAAAATTATAATTAATTAAGTAGTAAAAAAACCTAAATCTAATGGTTGTGGTTATGCCACATAGGGGAGTTTTGGCTACTTAACTAATTATAATTTTTTTTTGAGTTATTTGGCAAATTATCCCTATATATTAATGTTACAAAAAGTTTGGTTTTATATTTAAGTTAGTATCATTTTAATTAGTCTTTCTATTAATAAATTTGTAACAAATGTTAACTATTTATAATTATTTAAAATTTAGTTGTGCTTAATAATACATACTGCAACTTATACATCATAAATCACCAGTCAGCTGTATTGATTAAAATGTTAATTCGTATTTTTACAGCAAACTCACTCTGCAGTTTCTACCACATATTTTTTTACTATAAGTTACATCAAATTATAATGTTTACTGCAACTCGACTTTGATATCACATGCTACCGGTCGGACCCATTATCTATATATACATAATGACAAATAAAAATTCAGCAAATCGAGATTTAATTAGTTCACCAAAGAAAAGGAAGTCCATTTAAAAATAGGGGCAATTACAAAAATGTCACTTTTTGTGTGCACATTTGCAATAATGCCACTTAGGGGTGCCTATTTGCAAAAATACCACTAATTATAGATTTATAAAACCTATATCTTAAATGCCACTTAGATGTATTTTATTTGCTTATACTTTTTTTTTAATATATGTAGTTTTCTCTGTTCGGAAGGAAACGGATTTAGGAAAAATATTTCAACATAACACAAATTAGTATTTGAGCATTGAAGAGACTAGTGTTTCTGGCCTTCTAACCTAGATTTTAACGTTCATCTTCCTGCATTATGCTCCGATTGTTTGGCGATTGAAAATTTCATCATAGTTCTGAAGAATGAATAGAGTTGTTGTAATTAATATAATGATTTTACAGTTTACGAATGAAGTAAAGATTCACTGGAATTCAACGTGACTTAAATCTCTTATATAGAGGAAGATGAAAACGGTTCGATGTTAAAAAACAAAACAAAAAACGGTTTCAAAGATCGTGATGTTGTGTGAGAAAATTTAGGGATTTAAAGGAACTGGTTTACACCTGTAATGAGCTACTAATCCGAGGAGAAAGCTGATCATGTATAACGGTCCTTATATATCAAATTGTTCGAGGGCCATTTGGTAAGGATTTTTCGAAGACGGAAAAAATGATCAGGACTCAGGAGGAAGAAGGAAGCTGGTTACCAATTAAAAGCAGATGAAATGATAATTTACGAGCTCTAGGGATCATAAATACAGTCTGTATTCTATGGACAAAGAGAGTAATGTACACTTCGATAGAGGAAATTGTACAAAAATATAACTAGTAATATATCAAAGTGACACTTCTGTATTATACTCGAATCGCGCCATGCCTACTACACCAACATTCATTTTTTAGTAGAAAAAATTACATTTTTGTTTGAAGGATAACAAAGCCTATCTTTGATGCATCTGAAAGCTGTTGACGTTTTCTCTTTTGACACTCATGACTTGAAGAAGTTCCTAAGTCCGCTAAAGAGCCGTAGAGCCTTCAGCTCACCGCTTCTTATATCTCTTAGTCTCCTCCTCAGAATCTGAACCCAAACAAAAAAAAAGAAGAGATTCTACAATATCATGGATGGATCCACAGAATTTATATATCGTATTGGCTAGACACTGATTCCTTACGTATTGAGCACGGTACAGTATCCTTCGCTCGCTGGTGGACAAGTCTACAGCTAGCTGTTTCAGAAAGGCTTTTCGGTTTAATTGTTTTGGAGATGTTATGTCCAAATCCATTGATCCACTTTCCTACAGTTAGATAATGAACAAAACAAACCATAAGCAGATGCAGTGCATTTATCCCAGAGAGAGAGAGATGGGCTGTTTTGGTCATTTTTACCTTTAAAAATCGGCTGTACTTTGATATGCTTGCTTCGCATGTGTCCAGTATGAACTGCAATGCTTCTTCCTCGATTTCGGGATACTTTAGATCCTTATTTGTCGATGACTTATTTGAAGCAGCTTTCGCCATCTGAAATGGATATAAATTTAGAAAGGATGTATAACAAATTCCGGAAGAAATGGGTGGAGTCAACGAAAAAAGGGTCTCGATGGAGTTGCCAAACCTCTTCAAAGCTGTTTCTCATATCTGGAGGGCTCACCACTAGATAAGCATATGCCATTAGCTCCAATGGCCAACCCGTTATCCTTACGGGGAAGCATTGAGGCCTGCCAGTGAATAGTTAACAGAAACAATAAAAACAAAGCTCAAAGAGAAATCAATAAAACTTTCAGAGGGATACATGGATCGTGGGAGAAATGATTACGTGGATAATCCATGTTTCTGTAATGCATCCAGCTTTTCCTTGTAAGACTTATCGTTTTTCGTCAGTGACAATGCTAGCTCTACTGAATCACTAGGATTGGTTCCTTCTCTGGGAACAAACCCATAAGATAGCAATAGCTCCCCGTTAGATTTATTCCCATACGATATGAAAACCTGCACAAAGTCATGTATTGCAACATATCAGGGAATTTAGACAACTCTGGTTCGACTTTGGATTGGCTTGCTGGGACACTAAAAGTCCAATTGTGTTGATGGGACTTGTTGTCTTGTACCCCTACTTATATTTAACCTCAATGCTCGCGCTTATCTGAATTTAGACTAAACCGAGCATTTGAAGTGATACAGAAATGCACTTCACATAATTTTTTTCTGGTGGATGGATCTATAGGTCTTATTTACCTGCTCACCTGGTTGATATGGTCGATCTGCTGTAAATACCACTCCTTTTGAAGACTTATCATAATCCAGGTATGTTTCAACCTATCCAAGCAGAATTTGGAATATTAACTACCGTAAGTTAACCATACTTTCTGACTAGGAGAATCTAAGAGGAGTTAATTGGTTATAAAGATAAGCATGATGTACCTCACAATTATGATTAAGCATATCTGCCCATGGAACTAAGGCAAATCTTCCATCCATAGACGGCAACCGTACCTGTGTTAGAGAAGCTTAAGTCTGAACTGACAAGAACAAGGATGCAGCACACTGGATACCACAAAGGAAAGATAAATGAAATATTTTAACATTGTAAAGTGCCAGGGACGGCTATATTGTGCAGAAAGTCATGCCAGGATTAAAGAACAAATCTGTTGTTTCACTAATTCAAGACATCTAAATCAGGTACTGCAATTATCAAGATCAGCAAATGATTGCTTCTGATAGAGTAATACTTACCAACCGTGAGAATAGGATACCAAAAGACCACTTAAATGTCTCATCATTGAAAACCTGCAACCAACAAATAGCAAAATCATGCATGTGTACAAAGAAATTCAAGATGTGAATTCACACTATCTCAGATACTAGAATATAACTAAACCTAGTTGCAATTACAGAAGTGTACATTGCAAAAGACCCAAAAAAAACATGCGTTCGAGCAGAAAATAGCAAGCTGTATACTTCTGTCTCTGAATCGACTATAGAAAAATACGCATTTACCTCTTTAGGGAAAAGATGAGGGTGTTTTGAAAATATCCTGCTTCTTAAATCTTCGTAACTGGTGAAAAGAAACAGAAAACAGACATGAGCATTGTCTAATGCAAGACATAATCATCAATCCCACACACACGCACACAACAAGTGCCAGAGAGTGCATCAACTAAAGCAGAGATTGGAGCTAAACAAAGATTCCAAGACTCGGGAAAGCAAAGTTCTACACCATCTCCAGCAGTTGAGAGAAAGAAAGAAAGAATATCTCACGTTCCAATAACATTGGTGATTCTTTCAATCGCCCTTTCTCGAATCTGTGAAGCTTCCAAGTACATATCAAGTTCTGCCCGAGTCCTGAACACAGCGGACAAAAAGACTGTAAGGAAGTAAGAAACTGAGACAAAATGCACATCTTCTGGAAATAAACACACAATATGTGCAAGTTCAGCTACAAGAACAAGTAACAAAATTTACCAGTATAAAAGTGAGTAAGGTTGTCTCGGAAGAGCTGAGATATAGTTATACCATCTTGAACTTTTCTGAAGACTTGCTTCACTTATAAGATAAGTAGCAAGCAAAGGCCAATCTGGTACATCATAACGTTTCATCACTTCACCTGCTTCTGGGTTTGTCCATCCCTAAAAACCCAGTCTCCAATATTAGATTATGAAAGCCAAATACACTTCCATTGATTTGATGATCCATTAAAAATCAGAACAAAAAACTGAGAAATTGCTTGCAATTGAGATTAAGAACTCATATGCTTCCCAATCCTGAAAAACCCAACTCATTGAAACTTACGGAATCAGCACTGATGACGAGAGAAGGAGGAACGAAGAGAAGTTTCTCTCCTTTTCTGAGGTTTTGAGAGGCGACGAGGCCTCGTTCTCCGATGTCGACTTTATCGATTGCCATTTTCTGCGGTGGGAGGCCTGAATCGGAGAGCCAATTCTGAAGAGAAGTAGCGTTCTCAAGAGAATCTATCTCGCAGCCCCATGATATGTCCGGAGCTTCCTCCACGGATCGTCTCGTGGTCTCGCCGGCCGAAACTGAGCAGTGGACTCCCGGGCGGCATCGGAACACCGGAGACGGTGGTAAAGAGAGGGTGGGATTATGAAATCGGAGCTTGTGGAGTGGAGAGAAAGCTGGGAGGAGAGTTGATTGCAAGACACTAGAAGCTTTCGCCATTGGAGTGGAGAAAGTGAGAAGAGAGAAGAAAGAAGACGAGTGGCTATGGATGAGGCTTATGCATACTACTTGGCGCTGACATTGATTGTAAAAAAAAATTAAAAACTCGAACCAATAAGATTGTGGATTTAC